GCCTATCGCAAGCAACAGGCGCACCAGGAGCACCTGGCAGCCTATCGCAAGCAACAGGCGCACCAGGAGCACCTGGTAGCCTATCGCAAGCAACAAGCGCAGCAAAGCACCAGGAAGCCCTTCGCAGCATGCGTGCAGGCTTGCGTGCTAGCCTTTGCATGGCAGCACCAAGCAGCGCACCATGCGTGTGCGAGGGCCTAGGCGCCAGCACGTTGCTAGGCCACGCACAGCAGCCCAGCATTGCTACGTACCAAGGCTGCTAGGGGATGCGTGTGGTGCTAGGCTAATGCGCATGATGCGAGGCAAGGGGGCCAGCATGCGTGGCTCGCTAGCAGCACGCATGCTGGCCATGCTAGCAATGGTGCAAGAGATGCAGCGAGAGATGCGAGGCACAGCACCAGCGCCAGCACGCACCAGCGCATGGCACTAGCACGCACCAGCGCCAGCACACAGCACCAGCACAGCCTAGCTCCAGCACGCACTGGCTAGCTGAGGTGCTAAGCAGTAAGGCAGTGCTAGCTGGCAGCCCTAGCTGGCACGCTAGCTGGCAGCTAGCTAGCCTTCCTTGACCCGGTTTTGTGCATGGATGTGGGGACCAAATCAAGGCCTTGGGGAGCAAGGCAAATGGTCCCCCCCCCCCCTTCTAGCCTTGGCCATCACTCAAGCATGTGATTGTGCCACTTGTCACAATGTGATTAAGTTGATTATTTATTTAATTTAGAATTAAATAAATTGTTGATTTTACCAACTCTCCCACATTGATGGGAGATTGCAAATCAAGGGTGCATTTCCCTATGAATACCAAAGGCATGGTATTGGGAAATGCACAACCTTGAGTGGAATTAGAGTAAACCTTTGATTCGTAAAACTCATAGTTTTGTTTTGTCCGGGTCTTGACTAACCTTCAAGACTTAGGACGCTCGCGTCGGGTCGAGGGTACGATTCGTAGGAGATCTCGTAGTTTCGGAATTTTGAAGTAAGAGCTCTTTGAGAGCGAAGCACGCAACAAAGGTATAATTATTGTTCTTAGTCTTGTTTGATTAAGTTTATTATTATGCTTGTTAATTGCTTTAATTAAGGGGCGGGTCTTGGGGGGTTTCCTTCCGCGGGTCACTACGAAACCCTACAAGATACCCAGACGGTTGCCCAGATGTACCCTCTTCACGAGTAATTGAAAATTGTTAAACAACCCAACCGTTCCTCTGAAGTGTTGCTTGATGATACCCTAGACGGTTGACCAGTTGTGGGTGAATTGAAAGCAAAGGGAACCAGTCTAAAGACCCCCAGACGGTTGACCAGCTGTGGGTGTATTAAAAGCCAGGGGGATGACAAAAGACCCTCAGGCGGTTTTAATATGTTTTGAATGAAGAGCTCTCAGACGGTGACCGGTTGAGTGAGGAAAAGGAAGACGGTTGTGCAAGAACTAGCAGCCGGTATTAGAGCTTTCTTTCTCAAAAAAAATTCTCAAAAAAAAATTTCAAAGTTTGAAAATGAGGAGTGGGTCTCTACTTATAGAGGAAACTCATAAGGCGAACCGTCACCTACCAAATTCAAATTCAAATTCGAATTCAAAAAAAAAAAAGAGAGAGAGAGAAGAAGGCGAAACGTCACCTTCTCAGAGCATGACACCTATCAAAGGTGCCACGTGGCAAGCCACGTCACACCTGTGAGGGGCAAATGTTTAGGGTAAAAATACCTTGTCCACGTGGCCTAATCACGTGCTGGCACGTGTTATCATCAGAGAGGTTCTTAAAGAACCAACCCTCTTGTGACACATGGTTCTCTAACCTATGAAAGGAGAACTGATCTCTTCTCACTATAAATATAGGAAAATCCTCATTTATTATATATTCATAAATACACACACAAAACCCGAGCAATATTAATTGCAGAATTCTCTCGGGATCTGAGAGAAAAACCTTTACATTCCGCACTTTTATTCATCCGAACACGTTCTAACTTGATCGTCGGAGGCGGAACTCCACCCAACCGGAGTTTCCGTGGTTTTGCAGGTACAGACGGTCGACGCGCATTCTTGGAATTGTAACTCTCCTGAGGGACTCCAAAAACCCCGAAACAATGTCGATGACGTATTACTCATTGGAAACAGCACTAAACTGTTAGAGTCCGTAAAGGGCTTGCTTGGTAAGTGATTTTCAATGAAGGACTTGGGAGAGGCACAATACATATTGCGCATCTAGATCTATAGGGATAGTGATGAGTGGCATTTATGCCACCATTTCACCCTCTCTCATTAGAGAATTCCCCCGATTTACCACTTGTTTATGCCTCTTATTAGCACTTTTTATTCTATTTTAGTTACTTTAGCTACCTCTGGTGTTTTCCCTTCACTTTTATCTTTTCTGCCGCTTTTTACCATTTATTTGTGTGTTTTGATAGCTCCTAGCACTCGTGGGCGAATTATGGATTGCTAGATGGAGTGGAGATGCTAAGGAAGCTTGCCAAAGAAGTGGAGATGCCAAAAGGGAGAGGGCGCGCTGATATGCAAGGCCGCGGGCGCGGACAGGGATGTCCTGAGCAAGGACGAGTTTCTGGAGATGGCGAGCCGCGGGCGCGACGAAGAGGCCCGCGGGCGCGGCGTTATTCTTTGCGGGCACGGCAGAGAAGACCCGCGGGCGCGGCTATCTGGGTTTGGCGAACTTATTACCCAGCTTGGAGAGGGCGCGACAGCCTGTTTGCAGAGCCCTCTCTCTTTCCCATTTTCCTCATTATAGTAGAAGACTATAAATAGTCTTTAGCTTGAGATTTTCATATTTTTCAATATTTCATTAGCATCAAAAACATTTGTAGAGAGAGAAAATCCATGTCTTTTACAGATAGAAAACATTAGTCTTCAACGTTCAATCTTTGTAATCAAATATTCAAGCTTTCCTCTAGATTATTGCAACAACTTTGATGATTGGGTAATCCTTTAACTTTCATAATAGTAATCTTTTCACTTATTTCCCTAATACTTAGTTTTATTGTTTTTACTCATGTTTTCCTCATAAATATTCATTCTTTATTAGTTTCCTTGATTTCTCTTTGACTTAGAATCATGCTAGGTTGCATTAAGATTGAATACTTGTTTAGCTTGGTTGTTATGGGTATTTTCCTTTCTCTAGCTTAGATTTTTAGCTAGGGAAAGGGGTGAAAATCATGTTTATTTGAGTTCCTATTGATTTTTGATTGAAATCTACCTTGAGTTGATGATTTGTGCTTAATATGCTTGGAGTTATTGTGTGCACCTATAACCCCAATGTTTTAGTCCTAGATTAGATGCATGAGAATGATCTAGTTTAGGGTTGATTGATTTCATCAACTTGCTTTGAGTAGTTGCATAAGAATGAATTGCTTTGAGTAGAGTTTGAACTCCTTGGTTTTGAGGATTATGAGCTCACCGTTGGGATATTGCTACCCGTCACGGAGACCAACTTTACCATCCATCCACAATACACAAGAATGGTCCAAGCGGAGCAATTTTCGGGTTCCCCGAGTGAAGATCCTATTGAGCATCTTGATAGGTTCCTCGAGCTTTGTGCCATGATACAAACCAATCAAGTTTCCCAAGAATACATCCAAATGCATCTATTCCGACAATCTCTTGCGGGAAGAGCAAAGAAGTGGCTCAAGCAAGTCAAGCCTAATTCTCTCACAACATGGAAGGAGATCGTCCAAGCATTCTTGAAAAGGTTCATTTCCGAAGAGAAGACCGCCGAGATGAGGAGGAAGATTGCATCATTTGAACAAGGGGTGGATGAAAGCCTTAGTGAAGCTTGGGAAAGGTTTAAAGAGTTGGTGCAAGCATGTCCCCATCATGAAAACAATCAAAGCTTGCTCATGAGGTTCTTCTATGATGGTTTGGAACCTATGTCTAGAGCTAACTTGGATGCGGGGGCGGGTGGACAATTGATCAAAATACCTCAAAACCAAGTTGAAGCAACAATCGATGAGGTAGTGAAGAACTACTGTTGGGGCGGTAGAAGGAGGAATCCACCGAAGAAGGGTGGAAAGTATGAGTTGGAAAAGGTCGATCAATTGCAACATCAAATTGAGCTTTTAACAAAAGGGCTTGCAAAGTTAAACACCAATGTCAATAGTGGTGCAAACTCATCCCAAGTCAACTCTTTCTCTTGTCAAAATTGTGGTGGACCAACAACGATACATCTTATTGTGGAGGTTTGAGCCCGGAGCATGTAGCGGCTTATAACACAAGGCAAGACGGATATAGGGGAGGTGGCGGTGGAGTAGCTTGGAGACAACCACCACCCGGATTTGCAACCCAACCTCAACAATGGAATCAACAAGCTCAACAACCATACAACTCCAACCCCCAATATCAAAACCCTCCTGCATACCAAAACCAATACAAAAACCAAAACCCAAGGGGAAACTACCCAAGGAACCACCAACAAAATAATCAACACCAATACCAAAATCAAAATCAAGCGACTCAAAGGAGTCAAGAGCAAGCATCGCAACCCGATTCTACTCAAACCAAAAATTCTTCAACAACTTCAAGCCATGAATCAACAAATGCAAGAGGTCAAGGCTCATAACAATATGGTTGATTCACAACTAGCTCAATTGGCCGAGAGAGTTCCTTTCAACTCATCTTCTACTCTACCCAGGCAATCTCAAACCAACCCTTCTAATATTGTGAAACCCGACTCTTGCAAGGCAATCACATTGAGATCGGGCACATCCTATGAGGGTCCCAAGGAGGGGGATGGCAAGGAAAAGAAGGAAGGAGAAGAGAGTGTGAGTGAAGATAAAGAAGTTGAAGAAGAGAAGATTGATGAGAAAGAGAGAAGTATGGAGAAAAAGAAGTCTAAGGATGTGGTGACATCCTCAACTTCTAGTGAGGCTAGAAATCTTGATGGACCAGTTCTTTTTCCAGTCGACTTGCGGAGAGAAAATTGAATGACAAATTTGTAAAGTTTCTAAGTGTGATGAAGAACTTGCACATAAGCCTCCCTTTCATCAAAGCTGTCACACAAATGCCTTCATACTACAAGTTCTTGAAAGACATTCTCACCAACAAGAGAAAGCTCAATGATGAGCATATCACTCTCCCCTATCAAGTGAGTGCACTTGTTCAACATAAGATGCCCAAGAAGCAAAAGGATCCGGGAAGTTTTACCTTGCCGGTTAAGATTGGGAACATGGAAGCTAGGGGTGCCTTAGTCGATCTTGGAGCATGTGTTAGTTTGATCCCTCTATCCATTGCTCAAAAGCTTAATATTGAGATGATCCCCAAAAGGAAAACCATTCAATTAGCCGACCGTTCGGTAAAGCTACCTTGCGGTGAGCTTGAAGATTTCCCTATTCAAGTTGGGCATATCTATGTGCCTTGTGATTTTGTAGTGATGGATATGGAGGAAGATGTGGATACTGCCTTGATTTTGGGCCGTGAAGCTCTTAAGACCTTGGGGGCGGTAACATGTGAGGTAGTTGATGAGAAAATTGTTTTTGAATTCTCTAAGTTACTCAAGACCCCCATGGTTGAGAAGTGCTATAGGGTTGATGTTGTGAATGAAGAATTGGATCGGTTGGGAAGGGTTGTGATGAGTCCTTAAGATCCAATGGTTAAAGCTATTATATGCGAAGAAGAGTACCACTCTCAAGAAGCAAAAGAGTTCGCCATGGCCATTGATGAAGCCAAAAAGGAGGAAGAGGATGATCCTAGGGATGATGAGCTCGAACTAGTGGAGGAAAAATTGGAGGAGAGTTTCAAGCCTCCTCCCAAGGTAGGACTCAAACCCCTTCCTCCTTCACTGAAATATGCTTATCTTGGAAATGAAGGGGAATACCCTATTATTGTCAATGCTACCCTTGATGGGCTTGATTTGGAAAAATTGCTTGTTGTTTTGAGAAAATATAAAAACGTGATAGGGTATACCATTGATAATATCAAGGGTATTAGCCCTTCCTTGTTCATGCATCGTATTCACCTTGAGGATGATCAATCCACCTCAATTGAGCCTCAAAGGAGGTTGAACCCCAGCTTCCAAGAGGTTGTCAAAAAAGAAATTTTGAAATTACGTGAAGCGGGTATAATCTATGCTATCCTTGATAGCAAGTGGATTAGCCCGGTTCACGTGGTTCCAAAGAAAGGTAGAATGACCATTGTCAAAGGAGAAGGAGGAGAGGAAATCTCCACCCGGACGGTGACCGAGTGGAGGATGTGCATTGATTATAGGAAGTTGAACAAAAACACTAGGAAAGATCATTTTCCTCTCCCCTTCATGGACCAAATGTTGGAGAGACTCTCCCATCATGCTTTATTTTGCTTCTTGGATGGATATTCCGGCTTTTGTCCAAATTCCTATCCATCCAAGCGATCAAGAGAAAACTACTTTTACATGTCCATATGGGATATTTGCATACTGAAGAATGCCATTCGGGTTATGCAATGCTCCCTCGACTTTCCATCGATGCATGACTTCCATTTTTCTGAAATTCTTGAGAATGAGATTGAAGTTTTTATGAATGATTTTAGTGTTGGTGGCTCGTCTTTTGACACATGTCTTTTTAACCTTGAAAAAGTTTTGAAAAGGTGATAAGAGACGAGTTTGGTGTTAAATTGGGAGAAATGCCATTTTATGGTCGAGGATGGTATTGTCCTAGGCCATAAAGTATCAAAAAAGGGCATTAAAGTTGACTCGGCTAAGGTTTCGGTGATTGCTAAGTTGCCCCTTCTTACCTCCGTTACGGGAGTGAGATTCTTTTTAGGGCATTCCAGTTTTTACCGGAGGTTTATCAAAAAAATTTCTCAATCGCCAAGCACTTAACCGAGTTACTCAAAAAGGATGTTGTGTTCAATTTTGTTGAGTCTTGCCTTGAGGCATTCCAAAAACTCAAGGAAGCTCTCATCTCCTCTCCTTTTGTGCAAGCTCCGAATTGGAGCTTGCCTTTTGAGCTAATGTGTGATGCAAGTGATTTTGCAGTAGGTGCGGTACTTGGGCAAAAGAAGGAAGGAAGATCTCATATCATCTACTATGCAAGTAGAACGCTTGATGAGGCTCAAAAGAATTACACTACAACCGAGAAGGAAATGCTAGCAGTCGTGTTTGCCATGGACAAATTTAGGTCCAATCTCATATGCTCCAAGGTGATTGTGTACACAGACCACATAGCAGTCCGCTACCTCATGACCAAAAAGGAAGCAAAACCGCGTCTCATCCATTGGGTTCTTGCGCTCCAAGATTTCGACATGGAAATGAGGGATAAAAAGGGAGCGGAAAATTATTTCGCGGATCATTTGTCTAGGCTTCCTTTTGAGAATAGGGAAGATGTCTCAATCAATGAGGAGGTGGGATTTAAATCCCTCATGACCATGGCTTCAACACCTAGCCCTTGGTACGCGGACATAGCTAATTATCTAGCTTGTGGAGTTGTTCCTCCGGAGTTCTCCTCTCAACAAAAGAAGAGGTTTTTCAGGGAAGTGAGGAGATATTTTTGGAATGACCCGTACTTGTTCAAGTAATGTGGAGATGTCCTTTTCCGGAAATGTGTCCCGGACCATGAGATCGAAGGACTTCTTGTGCATTGCCACTCATTGCCGTGTGGAGGGCATGGAGGTGTAGAAAAGACCATGGAAAAGATCTCTCAATCTCTTCTTTGGTGGCCAACAATGCACAAAGATGCTCACAAGTTCGTTTCAAGGTGTGACAAATGCCAAAGGAGTGGTGGCATAACAAAAAGGGATGAGATGCCTCAACAAAACATTTTGGAAGTGGAGCCATTCGATGTTTGGGGTGTTGACTTCATGGGTCCTTTTGTTTCTTCTTGTGGGAATCAATATATCTTGGTGGCGGTGGATTATGTAACTAAATGGATGGAAGCTATACCCTCCCCCACTAATGACTACAAGGTGGTGATCAAGCTTCTCAAGAAGGTCATATTTCCACGGTTTGGGGTGCCTAGAGTTCTCATTATGCCAATAAGCAATTCGAAGCTCTCCTCAAGAGATATGGGGCTCATCACAAGATTGGTCTACCTTACCACCCACAAACTCAAGGACAAGTGGTGGTGTCAAATAGAGAAATCAAAAACCTTCTTCAGATGATGGTGAACAAATCTAGAAAAGATTGGTCTCTCAAGCTCGATGACACGCTTTGGGCCTTAAGGACGGCATACAAGACTGCCATTGGTACAACCCCCTACCGGTTGGTTTATGGGAAGGCTTGTCACTTGTTGGTTGAGTTGGAATACAAGGCTTGGTGGGCGATCAAGGAGCTTAACATGAATATGGCCTTGGCGGGTGAGAAGAGGTTGCTTAATCTTAATGAACTTGAGGAGCTCCGATATGATGCTTACGAGAACTTGAGGCTCTACAAGGAGAAGACTAAGAGATGGCACGACCGACATATAAGGAACAAGAGCTTTAAGGTTGGAGACAAGGTGTTGTTGTTTAACTCTAGGCTTCGGTTGTTTCCCGAAAAACTAAAATCCAAGTGGTCAGGGCCTTTCACAATTTCAAAGACTACTCCTTACAGGTCTTTTGAGTTGGAGGCGGAAGTGAACAAGTTCATGGTTAACGGCCACCGTTTAAAGCTCTACCATTACAATGACCAAGTTGGCATAATTGAGTGCGTGAGGCTCGATCCATCTGATCCTAAGCCACCTTCTTGATGATGATGTGTTATGGTCAACCTAATAACCTTATAAAGAAGCGCTTCTCGGGCAACCCGAGTTCTTAACTCTTTTGGTTTTGTGTTTCTTGTGTTTGATTAATTTTGGATGATTTTCCTTTAGTTCCTTATTGTATGTGTTTTGCTCCTCTAATAGGTACTTGGATCTTTGGAATTTGGTCTACAAAGTTGGGTGTGGAGAAGTTAAGGAAAAAAAAAAGAAATGAAAGTGGAGATGCCCTAGAGAAGCCATAGAGAGGGCGCTCCATCGAGGCCCGCGGGCGCGGACAAGGCTTCTTCAGATTTTCAAGGTGAAGTGGAGATGCCCAGGAGATGCCTGGGAGAGGGCGCGGGCTGTCAAGCCGTGGGCGCGGCCAGGTGTTGATCAAAACTTGCAGCAAACTGGAGATGCCAAGGAGCGGGCGCGGCCCAAAGACCCGCGGACGCGGGCAAGAAGACCTGCGGGCGCGGGCAGGAAGACCCACGGGCGCAGACTTTACCCCCGCGAGCGCGGCAGTCGGGGTCTGCGGTTTTTATGAGTTTTTCTCAGCAAAAAAAACCGAAACCAAAACCACCAAATTTTCAGAATTTCAGCCCTTCTCTCTCTAAACTTCACTCCACTCCAAACCCTAACTCATAATACATCAATCCCTCTTCCTAAATCATCATATTTCAACAAATTCCCTCACTTTTCTTCAATTTTTCTCACCAAAATTCTGAAATTTCATCCTTTAAAACCCCCAATTTTGATACTCCTCTTTGCTTGGGATTTTCTTTCACCATTGGAGGGTTCTCAAAGGTGGGCTTGATTTCTTCTTCAAAGGGCTAGTAGGAGTAATTGCTGGTGCTCATTTTGGTATACATTTCTTCCTTACTCTAATTTACCTTTGAATTTAAAGCATGACTTTGTTTGAGAAATTTTATGCTTGTGAATTTTCATGTGGGAATTTTTAATTGTTGCATGCCTCTATTGTGTTCGTTTATCATCTTAAGCATAATTAATTGTTGAGTTGTTGTTTTTGTTAGTTGTTTCTTGCCATAGATTGCTTGGTTGTGGTTGTTCTTGGTGATTGTTGGAAGTGAAATTGGAAATTTGTTCTGGCTTGATTGTTAGGGTGAATTGCTATGGTGAATTGTTGAGGCAGTTGATTGCATAATGCTATTGGTGAAAAAAAATTTCGGGTTAAAGAAAAGAAAAAGTGGGAAAGAAACTCAAGGTTCAACATCCTCAAATCCCCAACAAAGTGAACAAACCGCTCCACCACCTTTACCACCCCTCAAATTCTACAATAAAAACCACAGGCCCATCTACGACAACCTTCATAACTGAAAATTGAGACCAACCAAGCACTACCACCAACCCACCACCACAAAACTCGACATTGATGACGATTGTTGGTTCTTATTCAACAATCTCCGGTAAGGCTCGTTTGTAACAAGTGCCTACCGGACGTTCAAGGAGCCCACTCTTGAGTTCCTTGCCTCTTTCGAGTGTCATGCCGCAGGGGATAAGGACCTCACCATCTCCTTCCAACTCTTTAACAAAAAAGAAACCCTCACCCTCCGCCAGTTTAACCAATTATTGGACCTAAACCTGGATGCTGATATGTTCTTCCCCGAGCATGAGGGACTCCATGCCTATGAGCCCCTTCATTGCTGGAAGGTCATCTCGAGGATGGACGCTTTCAACTCCAAGTATTCCTTGGCCAGCCAAATCATGCACCCAGCTATCAGACTTTTGCATCGAATTCTCGGGTACATGGTCTTTAATAAGCAAGACTTGGGGAAGATTACAACCGAGGAAATTCGGATATTATGGCTAGCTACGCAGCCGGAGATTGGGCATAGAATGAACTTCGTGTTTCTATTTACTAAGTGCATTGAAGGTGTTCTCTCGGGTACAAAGAAGGGGGAGATCCATTTTGGCGGGAT